AAAAAAAATAACGATACTATATAATATATATATAATACACACAATAATATTTTATTTACTATTACATAAACATTTAAACAATTAGACATTCAGTAAAACAATAATAATAATAATAATAATAATAATAATAATACAATAATAATTAATTCCAAATAATTTATAAACAAACGGGGCATTACAGTCTACCCACCTTAAAAGGAATTCCGTCCTCGGAATTCGAAAATTAACAACTAGAAAGAATTCGAATACAACGGGGAATATCGAACGTGAAGTTCAGGCACTCCCTCCGAATCTCGGTCTCTCTCTCTTTTCCAAGTCGTCTCGCCCTCGACTTGACTTCTCCCACCGAACTTTGACGAATACCCCTCCCGGCCTTTCCCTAATGGACCTTCTGCTCCAATAGGTCACCGGTACCTCCATACGGGTAGGGTTCTGCCTGATACGCAGCTCGTCACAAAACACACATACCTCAAGGTCACGCACACATTTCTCTATCCAGAGATATATAACTTGTCATGCATCCTCGAAATTCCCAGTGGTGGAGTCAACCATCATGCTAAGTCATTGACTTGGTCGAGAGTCATAATAGAACTGATATAGCCTGGTCACAGCCTCTTTTCTTACCACGAAGCTCCTCACTTCACGTGGTAACTACACTTACAATTGAGTACAACAAATCATAAAGATAAAACCTCCAAGCAAGACTTAAGACTTAGGTCATTGTAATACATGTGGAAAATTCCCAGAGTCGATACGCATTCACACGCTAGAGACTTAGCAGCTGTGGCGTGAACGGCTGGCCTGTCATGCGGCAATGCGGCACGCTACCTGCGGCACACTACGCACGCCACTTCCTACAACTCGAGATGCATCACCGAGCGTGGCACGCCTGTGCGCTGCACCAGCACGTAGTACACCTACACCACCTGCATCCAGTAGCTACGGTTCATTCCTCGTTGGCTGTTACATCTCCCCGTGTTGATACGTACTCGAAGATTGGAAATCCCATAGTGTTTTGCGACCCTAATCCAAACATCAATATCCAAGTACTCCGACTTCGCGTTCAGGGTACTTGTACTTCTTCACAAGTCAATCGCTGATTACTCACGATGTTTCTCACAGCTCCTTGGCTACCCTCCTTAAAAGTCTTCTTCTACTAGCCCATAACATTTTTAGAACTAGCTTGAAACTTCTCGCGATCCTCCAGCATGACACCCAATTCGTTTACAAAGGGATGATTGATTTACGCCTATCACTAGGCCCAGGTATTACTCAAGAGTTGCAACATTATTCGCTCTCTTGAACCTCTCGTGTTGACTTAAAGATGTCATGAAACAAGACTCTTAATTTACGAAAACAGATAATGATCAATGGAAAATCAAGACGTAACTCCATCTGAATTCTCATTCTATGCAAGGAAGAAAAAGACAAACGAAGTTTCAAAAATACTGAGTTTGAACAACCAAGAGGAGTCTCAAAACAAAATTCAAACTTGTCTTGCAAGCAACAAGGAAATAACAAGGTTCGCCAAAAGTCACTAGAAATACAATACTATTAAAAGAAGGAACAAATAATCATCTTAATTCCGACATTTGATCAACTGCTCAGCCTTGGTTCAGCTCGCCCTCATTATGAGTTAACAAGTATACTCATGCTTGCCTTCCTTCGCCGAACCTCGGTCTGGCCTGCTGATGCTGCTGCTGTGGCTGGTAAATCTGTTGCTGAGGTGGGGGCGGGGGAGGCTGCTGAAATGGTCCCTGCTGTTGTCTCCTGGGTTCGGGGCACATGTTGGCATAATGCCCGAGGCGCTGACAGTTGTAGCAGGTTTTCTAAGATGCCCAACACTCTCCTGGATGGTTCTTGCCACAAGAGGCACACCTCGGAAACTAATTCTGAGCTACGGGTGTTGGGTTCTGTTAGGAACGTCAAACAACATGCACAGTATTGAACTTTATC